GGTGAAAGCAGGAACTTTGGGTTGTTCCGAGCTCTGTTCTCAGAAGTTGAATGTGATCTGTTATCTTGTAGAAATTTCTTGGCTGAACTGATGACACACGGGTTTAGGGGAAGATCCCGGTCTGGTGTTTACACAGAAGTCATTGGAACTGTTTTTAGGGTTTAACCATAGTTATTAAAGATGGAGTTTAATTTTTAAAGGTTGATGTGAAGTGATTTCAAACTTCTAGCAACAAAATTATTGTAGTTTGATACTAAAATACAAGTCACTTTTCTCCTATACATAGCCCTCTTGGTGGGACTTAAAAGGGCTCCAGTTTGGGGCTTTCTTCTGTCACCATCATCTGGTCAAGAGGAAGCACTAATGCGTCCTTTGTCATAATAAATTCTGGGAGTCCAGACCATTCTCGACTCGGACTCAGCCTCTTCTTCCTGCTTGTCTGTCAGAGCAGCTAGTCTTTTACTTTTAGACATTTCTACGTGTGAGTCTGTGGTCCATGACTTGAGGGGACATAGGTCAAGATCACTGAGTAGTCTTACCAAATTCTCTGCAGCAGGCAGAAAAGAGGGGGATGCACCCCCACCCCTACTCTTTAGTGTATAAATCGAGGGGGACAGCTCATAGCACACCACCAATTCCTTCTGAAAAGTTAATTTCTAATCTCCAATATCTCTTTTGACTCCACCAATCCATTTTGTAGACTGTAGATTGGTGGTTAACCAAGAGTGGCAAAACCAACTTGTCCACCTCGTTGAAAAGTCCTGTATAGGTAGTCTAACATCTCCCTTTAGGGAGTCCTGAAGTATTTTTCACTTCTTGTTTTACGAACTCAGCTAAAACTTTAGTAAAGATACCCAACTTAAAGTCTAATGACTATAATTAGTGCAATGCAGAAAATTCGAATATGGCGACGTGATAGGATGGCTGGACAGTTACTTCAGATTTGATGGTTCAGGAAGGCTTCTCCTGACAAGAATGGCTGAGCCGTGAAAAGATCAGGGAAGAGAGCATTTTGAACAGAGAAAAGAGCTAGTGAAAAAGGTCCTAAGGCAGGAAACAAAAGGACTTGAGAAGGTCACGGAACAGCAAACAGGCTAGTATGGGTAGAGAGTGTGGTAATAGGGGAAGACCTAAGTAGCCAGAGGCCAGGACTTGCTTGGTTCTGTAAGCCAGAGAAAGAAGTTTCTAAGTTGATGGATTGGAGGGGGGAGGTAAAAATAAAGAGGAATCAGGGCTAACGCCTCAACATCACCCACTGAGTCCATGCCAGTCATTATAAAGACAAAGGAAAAGTAGAAAAGAAGAACCCTGCCCTCTTATGAGGAAGAGTCATGTAGCTTGACATCAGGCAGAGGCTTTTCAGTTCATGCCACTAAACTTTTGCACAACATTTGGCTACTGGATTATCAAATTTCAATGTCCACTTTCTGAAAATTAAACATTTTATTCAGTCATTTAAAATGCTGAAATTCCTGCAATTTCCTGTGCTCCTTTCTTTGCCACCACCTTGACTGCTCTGGTTCAGAGGCTGCCTCATTGTGTGCTTGAATTTCAGCCAGATTGAGAAGATAAGGGCTTACAAATAGTTTTCTGTGCTTTAAAATGACCTAAACTGTGTAATGGCCAAAAAATGACTCATAGAGGAAAGTTAGGAACTTCATTCTAGATTCTCAAGAGTTGGGAACGCAGAAGAAGGCTGTGAGCATCCTTGGTGCGCGTGTTCTCTCTGAGGCTGCACCTCGTGACCGGAACCAGCAGTAAGAGGAGTGCAAATGTCTATCTTTGGTTAAGTGAATTGGAAGCTAGGATCTGGAGGAAAGCCATGGAGATGAAGGAAACAAGTTCAGTTTGTACAAAGAAGTGAAAGCGTGGTGAGTAAAGAGGAAGTCATAAGATTTCATGAGTTCGAGAATCTTTCTTTTCCCCGGGCTTGTCAGAATGTGGCCGAATGAGAAGCCTTGGACTGTAGAAAAAGCTCATGGGACCTGGAGAAGAGATAGAAAGCAGAAATATTGGATGTTGAAACCCTGTTTTGTGGTGTGGTGGTTAAGAGCACGGGCTCTGGAGCTCAATTGCCTGCTTCAAGACTGCTTTCTTCCTAATGAGTTGTACGACCAGCAAGTCACTTATCCCTCTGTGCCTCAATTTCTTAACCTGTGAATGGGAATGATAATGCTCCATACCTCCTAGTGTTGTAAGGATTCAATGAGTGAATATGTACTTAGCACTTAGAATACACCCCACACTATGAAGCACACATCAACATAGTATTGGGCCCTTGGGATCCCACTCAAGGGGCTTTCCCAGGTACACTTGCCCAAATGAGACTGGTGGACAGGGTCCGGTTGCTTCCTCTTTGACAGTTGTGATTTGTATAGATGACCTGTACAGGTGATCTTAAAAGACTAGCACCTCCGAGATGGAACCATTCAGAAGCAAGGCTCACACGGGATAGTGTAAATAAAATGGAAGGCTCAAGTAGGATTATGTTAACCTAGGAGCACAACGACAGACAGGAAACGGAATAGTAAAGTAAGACAGTCTTGGGTAGCCTGGTGAAAGCAAGCAGGAGAGAGCAAAGTTGAAGGAAAGAAGAGTCAAATGGTCAGGCTCAAAGTGAGTAGAACAGAAAGAGTATGAAATCATTTAAAACAGATGATAAGGCAGTGGCCATATTAAATAAATAAACAGATAAATGCGTAGATAAAGGACCTAATTCTTTGAAGAGCTGCTGTTAAGTGAAAAGAATCAGTTTTGGCCACAGAGGTAAATATGGGAGGGAAAGAGGAATGATGTGTTGAAACTGACAGACTGCTCATTTCAAAAAGATAAAATGTGTTAGAGTGTCACCCATTGAGAGAGAAGCCAGACCCTAGGGAAGTCAGTTCTATCTGTTCTCAAAAAAAAAATTCATTGAGATTTGAAGGGTTAATGTGGAAAAGGGTGGTATTAGTGACAGGAGGCTTTTGGTGTTCTTCCTAATACCCAAGGCACAGACCAAACATGCTGCTCCAAGCATAAGGCTAAGACAGTAAATTTGAAAGAAATGGCTAGGAAACGTGTCTAGTTGTGTCTGCCACATCTTTGTGTGCTCAGTTTAAACTGATTCAAGTGAAAAATCCTGGCTGATCAGCTTTCACAGCTGCTTTGCCATAGGGAGTCGCTGCTGCTGGTGCCAAACGAAATACTCACATATGATGGCAACAGGCAGACAGGGTCCAGACATCAGACTCAGAGGGCAGAAAGTGCTAAGCACAGTGGGAAAAGGTGTTTCAGGTTTCTGAATTGGTACTTTTCAAAAAATTTTATTGCATTACTTTTTTCTTGAGGCATAATTGACATACAACATTATATTAGTTTCAGGTGTACAACATAATGATTTGATACTTGTCTATATTGTGCAATTTTCACCACAATAAGTCTAGTTAACATCCATCCCCCTCTGTACACAATTTTTTTTTGTGAGAAGTTTTAAGATTTATTTTCTTAGCCACTTTCAAATATTCAATACAGTATTATTAACTAGAGTCACCATGCTATGCCTTATATTTCCATGACTTACGCTTTAACTAGAAGTTTGTACTTTTTGACTCCTTCACCCATTTACCCACCCCCAGCTCCCAGCCTCGGGAAATTCCCTATCTGTTCTCCCTATCTATAAGCTTGTTGTTGTTGTTCTTGTTCTTGTTTAGATTCCACGTGTAAGTGAGGTCACATGGCATTTGTCTTTCCCGGTCTGACTTATTTCACTCAGCATAATGCCCTCATGTTTACATCGGTACCTTTTTTAAAAGTCAAAGGTAGATAAGCAGAGATGGTGGAAGTATTTGTCAAGTATTTTTGTCATTAAGCCACGAGACACATCAGGCTTGACTGCCTCTCTGCTTGCTTCCACTGGGGCATGAGTTTCCAGGATTAAGTTCTAGGATGTGGTCAAGTGTAGGTAAAGCAATGTCATTAATACAGCTACATTCAGCAAAACAGGACACACAGTTCAACCAAGGACAATAGAGAACTGAAGGACAAACCAAAGAAGCGTTGGCCACTGTTGAAATTATTAAATGCTCAGGCTCCCGGTTTTGTTATCAGCATGGCTAGTAATATTGCAAGGTATCTAGATTTCCCTCCTGGGCATTTAAAGCCAGAACTGGGTTTGGGAGTAGAGATGAATTTAAAAGAAAAAGGGAGCAGGGTGATAGTGGAGGTGGAGTTAGACACCATGTGCTTCGAGAGGCTGAATTTTCCGTAAGGACAGGGAGAGAGATAAGGGAAGATCAAAAACATCACACCCAAGCAGCCAGCAAAGAGAAAAATCTAGGATCAGAAGCGGTGGGTCTGCCAGTGGGAGGAAGGGTAGAGGCAGGAGAACAGAGTGCTGTGAGGGCTGGCCTCCCGGGTGGGGGTGTCTAGAAATGTCCCCAAAGGCCAAAGGTGTGTAGGTGGAGAGAGCGTACTGGAACAGCTGTGGCTGAACTCCTGGCTGAAGGAAGCTCGTTAAGGGGATAATGTGCTTTGGGATCAAAGTCTGGAGCAAAGACAGACTAGAAAGACATTCAAGAAAAGGTCCTCAAGGATTCCTGAGATAGCAAAATCAAAAGGCCAAGATAAGGTAAAAAATCAACAGGCCATCCCATTCTTTTCAAAATTTTTACCCTTGGATTTAACTCTTGTCTACTGAACTAAAGAATTTTAAATATTAGCAAAGCTTTCAGAACTTCTAGTGACTGACCCAGACTTTCCTTGCTCCTCTCACCACACAGTTACATCAGAGGTAATTTTAAATACACATCATTTAGAACAGATTAATGTCTGGTAGAAAGAAATTTGGTCAGCAGGAAACTGATTTTCTCTTTATTGGATATCGGCCTCTTCATAAAGCATTCCAATTCCTTTTTTAAAAAAACAAAAAGCTGAAGAAATGTAGCCCACATTGCCAAATGGGTCAAGATCTGAGTCTGAAAGTAGAAGGAAAAGGGTAGAAATGGAGTACGTACCCAGAGGACCATAACACAGCGCTTGCTGAGGTTACTAATTTCAGTTCACATAGGACCTGAGCATCTGGGGCCATATTCGCCTCGCAGGCGAAGGAAAGAAAACTGAAATGAAATACAGGAAAGTTAAAATTACATTACAAATGGATCAAAAAAACCCTCCTATATTGCCTAGATTGATGCACTGTCAAGGACTCTGCCTTATAAGCCTTAAGAATTGCTTCTGAGTGATTCTACCCCATAAGGCTCAACACAAAACCTGGCATATTATCCAGTTCCTACCCTCTGATTTGGTGATCTAATCTAAATAATGATTCCAAGATTCCTAAAATCAAAATCTGCAATGTGATTCAAGAATATTAAATTTTAAGGCACTGGCAAATGTTAGTTTCTACAGAATGAGAAATCCGTAGAACATTTTCTAAACCTCTGTAGAATGTATTGTCTTGGTAATCTGGAAAAATAAGATGCTCTGACAAAAGGAACCACATATTGCTTCCTCAAAATACTGTCCTGACAGGGGCGCCTGGGTGGCTCAGTTAGCTAAGCCTTCGGCTCAGGTCATGATCCCAGGGTCTTGGGATGGAGCCCAGCGTCGGGCTCCCTGCTTAGTGGGGAGCCTGCTTCTCCCTCTCCTGCTCCCCCTGAGTGTGCTTTCTCTCTTTCTCCTGCTCTTTCTCTCTCTCTGTCAAACAAATATATAAATAAATAAAATCTTAAAAAAAAATACTGTCCTGACTTATGTTAAGAAGACTTTCCATTAAAAAGTCAGTCTCAAATAGGTGAGAAAGTTAACAGATTACCAAAGTTCAGTTGTATTTTAAACACTGTCTTTAGTGACTTCGTGAAGGAATTTTTCGTAGAGAAGACTTACAGATGACTGAGGAATTACTGTTAATGTTAATTAAGTGGGTGCATAGAAGTTTCTTTTGAGCAAGTGCAACCTCCAAATTTATTTAACAATAGGAGAGAATGTTATTTTTCTTTAAAATTTCCAGAATGTAAGCCCATATACTGGAAAGACGAGTTTGCATAGAGGGTTGTTAAAGCTGCACAAAAACGTTTTCGAAAGACTTTGATCAAAATCAATACTATGAATCAGAACTGTCATATTTTAGATACTTTTTTCTCATTATCACTCACTATATTGTTTTTTGAATATCAGCTTTTATTGGTATTTTGTTGATACTAGTATTTTAGAATATCTACAAGTTTATCTTCATCTTTTCCCCCCAAACTGTCGTGTACACAAGGTGAGTGTCTTTGTTCTGGAGAGAATGACTTAGAGCAGTGCTTCTCAAACGGGCTACATTGACGGTCCAGCTTTTCTGATGTTTTGTTTTTGTTTTCAGTCTGTTGTGAATCAGTGCCATTTTACAACAGTGGAAACGAATTACTGGCAAAATGAAACTAATAAAGCAAAGGTGTACAGACATAAGCCACATATTTATTATTAAATTCAGTAGTTATACTGTTCTGTCAAATTGCTATAAAAGTTTTTAAATGCTTACTCCCAGCGTTTCTGTTCATGGATTGGCACTGGTCCAAGGTTCGCAATTTGAGTAGTATTGACTTGGAGGATTCAGATTAACCAAAATTATCATGATTATGCCACGGTACAGAGAGCCATTTGAGCGATAGGGATCCTATCTTACTCCATATAGTAGCTACAGAAATAAACAGTATCTTTTACTTATAATAGAATGTTTTCACTTCCCAAAGTGTTTGCATGTTCATGCTCCCATTTATCTTCAGGACTTACTGTGGCAGGTAGATGTAAGCTTATTATTTTATCATCAAGAAGCCAACATAGCTTCATCATGGAAGTGTGTTTTAGCCTACTATTTGATAGTATGATGCTATAAAAATCTGGATAGAACAACAGCATATGTAAAAAAAGAAAATAAAATAATTTTTTTTAAAAAAGAACACACTGTATGCAAACCACACAGTGAACTGAGTTACTGACTTCTTTATTCAATTCAGGAAACGTTTATTGAATGCTCATACGTGGCATGCACTGTCCTTGACTTCATATGTGGGGAATTTGAGAGAGGAATAGGACTTTTTTGCAGTCTGACAGGGCTGATGAGGCATGCTCTCAGTATGTTTAGTGCAGGGCACTAAACCAAGTGTTGGTAAGACTGGAGAAGGAAAGGCTAATTTTGCTGGACAAAGTAGCGTTTGAGTTTGGTCTTGATGTAGAGTAGCTGTTGAAATTGATGCAAGGGATTTCTGCTGAAGAAGTAGATCAACATGAGCAAAGTCACAGAAGTATGAAAAAACAAGGGGAATCTACAAACCAGCTCATCCTAGCTGGGCTTTGCATATGCAAGGATGACTTCTGGGAAGTAAAGCTAGGAAAGTAGATGTGTGCAAAGCAATCTTGACCGTACAAAAATAGATATTACAGAAGACGTGATGGGGAAACAAAAAAGAGAATTCCATTAGGCAGTATACACAATAAAACTTGACAATACACAATACACAATAAACAATACACAACAAAACTTGACAAAAGTCCTGATTAAACATGTATGTCCTTCTGAAAGACTCACCAAGGTTCTTACTGGCTACAAAGATAATTCATCTATCTTTTTTTAAAATTTTTTTATTGTTATGTTAATCACCATACATTACATCATTAGTTTTTGATGTAGGGTTCCATGATTCCTTGTTTGTGCATAACACCCAGTGCTCCATGCAGAATGTGCCCTCTTTAATTCATCTATCTTTTTAACTTTCCCTTTCCTTTCCTAGTGCAACTAAAAATCTCGACGTGTAATTTTGCATTTCCATATTCCTCATCCTATTCAGTAGACAAGATATTATCATTAATATCATCTTCCTTAGAATCTGCACAGAAAAGGCACGAATAACACTCAGATTTCTTGCTTTTCCTCTGATGTGAATGGTGACACGCAGAGGTGTTGGTGAAATGATTGTTGGCGAAATGATTGTTGGCATTGAAACAGCCATGTCGTGTGAAGGGTTAGGGGCCAGTGGCAAGCAGAAGCTGCCTGAGAGTTGAGAAGCAAGGACAGAAACAAGGATGACAGAAAACACATGGTATTTGAGAGACAGAAGCAACAACCCCTCAGCATGACCTTCAGATCCACTTTTAGCTCCAGAGCTACTTGGACTCTTTTTCTTAGATACCTGCAGAGCGGTCCTTTATAGCCTTACGTCTCTTTTATTTAATTTAGCTTTCATTAAAATGGGTGTTTGATGATGAAGACACACTGCACTGCCTACATGATTATAAAGGAAAAGGAAAATAATAACTGCATAAGTCGCCTTCAAAAATGCCCAAGTCACATAGAGCATAACAAAGACTGGGTATTAACTGTCTCCAGAATAATCCAGGCTGATCTTTCTCTCCCTAGTTTTAAGGAAACAGAAGCTGGGCATATGTAGTTTTAAGCTGCAAAATGTTTATTCTCGGAAATTATATTTCCTAATAAAAGGGAACTGATGAAGAAAGAGGAAAGACTCTGGAAAATAGTTGCATCAGCATGGTAGATGTATATACTGCCCTGCAGCTCTCCCCAGTGCCCCCCTTTCCATGAAGGAGAATGGTGGGGAAAAAACCTAACTAACACTATATAGGTATATTCATTCAGATAGGAATTTAGACTAAAGTAAAAGAGATTATTTTCTTCTCAAATGAAATAAAAATGTAAAGCTGATGGGTATAAGATAAAAACAACAGAATCTTGACCCTGCAAATGGTTCCAGGCTTAGTAGGCTGAAGTGTGGGAGATAGTGTGTATACTCAGCATAGAGATTCTTCCCACCAGCCACACTTTACGTTGTCCATACTATCACCTTTGGCCATGAAGGACGCCAGCAAATATAGCACCCTCAGGAAAGCATAATGGGGGCTCATGGACATACCGCCAAGAGAAGAGATGAAGTCACCAGCATGGGACAGCACGGGCTCTCAGTTTCAGAACATTGCATTTTATGATTAAAAAGGGCTGGTGGCTAATAAAATGCAGTGATTATGACACATGATTTCCCCAGCTGCACTTAAGGTAACACCAAGGTTACTCAAACCAAATATTTTAATAGATTCACAAAGACCAGAAGCCATTCCTAGATTTCCCAGCTGGAAGAGTTCTAAAATATAACTATTACATTCAGCTCAACTGAACAGTAAAGCAAAAATGCTTACTGCTGGTCACATTCCAGGGAACGGTTAAAATTGCTTTATGGCCTTCGGTAATGAGAGTGGACAGCAGTGTAACAATACATAATAAGGTGAGTTTAGTTTTATGTCCCGAGAACAATCTGCTTTACCCTTATGGTTCAGTTCTTTAAACTGTTTCTGTTTGAAGTAATTACAAAAGATAGTTGGCAAGTGACAGTTATAACCACTGTAGCAAATGGACTTTGTTGTAGTGTTGTGGTCTACCCCTGAGTACTATTATCTTAGACTTCTAGGGCATTTAGTGTAAGTGAGGATGTCACATGAAACAAATGCCTCCTGACTTACACTAGACTTACAAGGATCTCCTTCAAGCAAGACCAGCTCAAGTGTGTGGCTGGTGATGTTTTCTGAAGGGTAGGACGTATACATAACCCTGGCTATGCTTGAGTTGCTATTAGGAGACACAAGAAAAAAAATGTATTTTGTTTTAATAGTTCTGTACATATTTGGAAATTATCACATGATAATTAATATAAACACCACATCAAATCTATGATTTCATAGATATGACTGCTTAAGATGGTTATATTTTAAAAGTTCATATGGAAAAGGCAAAAGTTCTGATGTTGGTGTATAATGACTGTGGCAGGTAGTCCAAGAATGCTCCGTGGGCCTCAATTCCTGGGATTCATGCCCGTGAATGGTCCCCTCCCACACTGTAGAGTACCGACACATAACCTATAGGTTCATTTAACCTAGAGGCTATTGTGGAAGTGAAACAGTGTGACTTCCAAGGCTAGGACAAAAGTCACTGAGGCTTCGGTTTGACCTTTAGTCCTTCCTTCTGAGGGGAATCAACCGCCATGCCTTGAAAAACAACCCTATGAAGAGTCCCCAGGTGCCAAAAAACTGAGGCCTCCTGCTCACAGCCAGCAAGGAATGCTATCCTCTTGTTTACAGCCATGAGAGTGAGCCAACATCTTTGACCGCAGCTTCCTAAGGCATGAGGGGCCAGAACTACCTCAGCTGAGACCCTCTTGAATTTCTGACCCATAGAAACCATGTAAGATAATACATGTTTACTGTTGTTTTAAGCTGCTAAATTTGGGGGTAATTTGTTAAGCAGCATTAGCTAACCAATAATAGATGAAGAATACCATGAGCAAGACTGGGAAACAGTGACAGGGGATCCCGCTTACCGGTGCTCCTATATAGCTCTGCTTTTCCTCCTCCTCTCTGAAACTTCCGTTCCATGGAGCTGAACCATTAGATCTCAGTTCTAATGGAAAGTGCACCTCTTGCGTCTGCTTTTGGCTGAGCCTGCACATGGTACCTCTTGTCTGACAAAGTGTTTACCATCACTTAGTCCTTCTGACAACAAGAGGGCTGTTACAGGCTTTTAACGAATGCAGACTCTGCAGCCAAGAGAAATGTAGCTGAGAAGTGGGATCGAGATCTACAGTTCCCAATCCCAAATGGTAAGTGAGTTGCTATTTCTCTTGTTCCTCCTGTTTCAGAAAGTTCTCAAAGCAGCTGCGGTCTCTCAGCTCTGCCCTCATGTGCAATTTTCCGCTTTTCCAGGGCCCCTACCTAGGTCCGCGGTAAACTGAGAGTTACAAAGTTGCTATTTAATGCTTTTTTTCTCCCTAACAACTTCAAAAATACATTGGAGATATTTTTCTTATTAACGTTTTCCTCATGTCAGCAGAAGCAGTATGTTTTAAAAAGTTCCTTGAGACATTCGTCCCGCTTCTTACCTTTATTCAGAGGACTTGGTGGGAAGATGCCCGCGACGCTGTTACTCCCTCAGGGTAGGGAGCAAAGAGCTGGTGGAAAGAGCACAGAGACAGAGTAAGGAGAATTCAGTTCATTTTCGACATTTACTCACATATTCTTACTTTTTTCTATTTCCCAATTATTTTCGCATCATCAACGGAAGTTTCTTATTAGGTCTTGGGTATGCATGTTGAAAAGTGATTTGGTTTCCACTGTGTTCTGCAATGTCAGCATTTCCATAATTACACACCACTGTTGGCTGTCTCCCAGATGACTGCTAAAATTATATATCATGGGATTTAACTACAGGCCGGACCATGGTGTTTTTTAATCTTCACTCGAATTCCTTCCAAATAACTAAGGAGCTAATCATCCTTATTTTATGTATTTATTTATTTAATTTATTTATTTAGTTTTTTGGTCTCTAGTTTGGGCCTTTTTAAGCACCTCTCTTGCAACAGATTAGAAGTTCCTTTACCTTTTAAGTTTTCAAGCTGCTTTGGTTCACGGTTTGGGGGAAAAAGAAGAGGACTTGCATTTCTCTATAACTCCATGACAGCGGGCTCCGTGAGTCAGACTCAGTAGTAATTTGCAGGGTGTTCTGACCTGCAAACACATTATTTGCCCCATAATAAACTTAGTAAAATACCAAATTTTGTGAATACCCAAATCCCGCACTATCACTTCTTGATTCTACCTCAGGAATCCTATTTTTTAGTATCCCTATCACAAGGAACCCGGGTGAAAGTAAACGTTGGTAGAGATGCAAACTAAGTATACCAGGAAGACTAACTTCCGGTTCTGGCTCTAAACCTCTAACCATGACATGGGTAAGTCCCATCGCTCTTCAGATGCTCGCCATTCCGTCTGTAAGATCGCAGGGTTGGAATACGTGATGGAAGATCACTTCCAGCTCTACAGGCCAAAAACTCTGTAACCGTGATGGCAGCTCCAGATGCCCACCTTTCCTGTGGGCACATATTCTCCCAACCACTTTGTCCTGCCTGCTGGTCCTGCTCACTGGCTATTTTATTGTCATCAGGTGAGCCTGTTCCTTCTCTTTGCTCTGTCCTTTTTGTTTGATGTTTGTTTAATTCTTCATCCTTTTTATTTCTTTCTCAAGTCTCTACAAGGGAAAGGGGGCACAACAGAGATTTACTACCTCTTGATATGAACTCTGCTCTTCTAGATTCTTTAGAAAATAGATCTGAAAAAGACTTTCCATAAAGTTGTCACCCAGTCACTCTTTATGTGCCTATCACTATTTTCTGGTATATTCTCTTTTAATTATTTGACTATTTATTGATTTTAGGTCTCCCCCACCAGAACGTACTTTCTATAAAACCTCCATCTGTGTGCCCTATTCCTGTTTCAGCCTGAGTTCCTAGGCCATTGTTTGACAAAATAATAATTGGGGGTGTTTGTATCAGCTTATATGCTCAGTATGCTAAATTGGTTAATTGAACCAGAATCCCTTTCAAGGAAATCTGGCTTTTGAGGAAAGGATACCCCCAAAGACATCAGAACTATTTAGAAATAGCAGCGGTTCAAAAAACACTTAATGTAGTCACATTAAATCATCCCCAGCATAATATGAGGCAGAAAATCGAAAAGCAAGAAAAAAAATTCCTAGACAGAAGAGTGTGTAGTAAACCTTCTCTAAATAGTTCGCCACTGTGTGGCATGTGGTATGACCGGATAAACAAACCTAACAAGCAATTTGGGTTGGGGAATTCTGGCTGTAAATGTAAATGTACTTTACATCTCTTTTAGTGGTCAGACACAAGGTAAAAATGGTAAGGGCACTATTTTTAGTGATCAAGTCATCTCAGGTTATGGAAGTTTCTCATTAGTTTGCGTTCCATAAAGATAGGCTTTATGAATCTAAACCTGATTTTGTCTCTTAACTAGGAGCTGTTTCTGAGAAATATTAAATGAAAGGGAGACAGTATAAATGAAATTCTAACTCTAGACCTGGGTCACTGTTTGTCCCATAGAGTCTTTGGGGGTCACTTTTGGCAAATTCTTCCTATATGGTTGTCTAGAAGTTATCGGATTGTCTCCTCACATAAACCTTCTTGAGTGGCTGACACATTGTTGGCACAGCATGCACCTAACATGAGTAAAGGAATCACTATGCCACTCAGAGCATATCCCGGCACAGGGTGGGTCAGGTGAGAAAACCAGTATAGTAGTCCTGTGTCGGCACTACGCCATGCAGTACGTAAATGACTCTAAAATATTGAAGAGAAATGCAAGTGGGAAAAAAAATACTATTTGTGTGATGAAACAGACAGGAAACATTTTGTGGTGGAGTCATACAGGAGAATATTTATATCCTCCAAGGTCCAGTTAAAGTCCTACCTCCTCAACAAAGCCTTTCCTACTAGCTCAAATCATTTTCTTCTCTGTGTTCAATTATGTTTACTGTCTATTAGTGGCTCTTTTTTTGCATTCTGTCATACATAACCTTATTGAACTTTTTCAAGTGTTAATAAACTGTCGGCTGAATAAGCTCCTTGAGGGACAGTTACTCTGTCTTATCTTTATTTTTATCGTCCTAGTATTGCTTGGTGGCTGGCTTGTGAAAAAGCACTCGAAGTTTAAATTGAACTAACATGATAGAAGAGTAGTAACTCATTAATAGCTTTGTAACAACGATCGCAGTAGAGTTTACAAGCTGTATTTTTTCCTTTTATGAAGACAATCGAACCGAAGTTGGAACTTTTATCAGTCAAGGTCCAGGCGGAAGACAGAAGGCTCTCTCACAGAGATAATGGGAGAGATTTTGATGAAGGGAACATGTACAGAGGTGTGGCAGCATTAGGGACCAACAAGGAATGGTGAAACACCTCCGGGCAGCAACCGTGGAAGGTCATTACCGCTCCAAAGCCTGAATGGGCCAACGCATGGCAGCGATACTGAATCTGATGAGAGCTGAGTCGTGGGAAATGGACCACCTAATAGTTATGATTGTAGGTAGAGGAAGGTATTCACAATCAAAACACACTCTCTCTCTCTTTCTCTCTTGCCGTCTTTTTATCTCCCTCGCCCTCCTCCCACCCTCCTCTCTCTGATCTCTACCTAGTCCCTCCCACTGGATGAACCCAATGGGAAGTAAGAGGGTGAGAGAATTCAGATGATGTAGTCCATCCAAGTTAGCCCGCTAGAGTGCAGATTACCCTGAAGAAGAGCAGAGAATAGATCGGGAAGGACAAATGGAGGATAATCAGTGTAAGATTCCTTCCAGTTTTCTTTCGATACTACTATTTGTAAACCTTGTTACTGTATATGACTCTCTACTTTTACCAAATAATATAGGATAGTCACCAGATGCAAAATAATTATCTATCACCAAATAGCTTTGTATGCAATTGTATCATTTGTTTCGTATGTGGCATTTTTTTTTCCCTCAAAATCATCTTATATGGTTCCACTGGTTTTATGTTAGAGTTACTATATTTTAAACTATTAACAGTAGTGAGAAATATAACTTACTCTTGTTTTATTTTTTTTTAATTTTATTATGTTATGTTAATCCACCATACATTACATCATTAGTTTTTGCTGTAGTGATCCATGATTCCTTGTTTGCGTATAACACCCAGGGCTCCGTGCAGTACGTGCCCTCTTTAATACCCATCACCAGGCTAACCCATCCCCCCACCCTCCTCCCCTCTAGAACCCTCAGTTTGCTTTTCAGAGTCCATAGCTTACTCTTGTTTTAATGTGTGATTTTGAATGTTAATCTTTACTTCTTATTGAAATCTACAATTTATCTTCACTTGGTAGTATGTTCTTCAAGAGTATTTTGATACTTCACTTTTTCAAACCACAACTGCATATTTACTTTTATTATTATTTTATTATATATATATGTACTTATATTATATATTATTAAATTATTATATTACATAGAAAATACAAGTTTTTTAAAAAATTTTTATTGTTATGTTAATCACCATACATTACATCATTAGTTTTTGATGTAGTGTTCCATGATTCATTGTTTGTGCATAACACCCAGTGCTCCACGCAGAATGTGCCCTCTTTAATGCCCATCACCAGGCTAACCCATCCCCCCACCCCCCTCCCCTCTAGAACCCTCAGTTTGTTTTTCAGAGTCCATAGTCTCTCATGGATCGTCTCCCCCTCTGACTTACTCCCCTTCATTCTTCCCCTCCTGCTATCTTCTTCTTCTTTTTTTTTCTTAACATATATTGCATTATTTGTTTCAGAAGTACAGATCTGTGATTCAACAGTCTTGCACAATTCACAGCACTCACCATAGCACATACCCTCCCCAATGTCTATCACCCAGCCACCCCATCCCTCCCACCCCCCCACCACTCCAGCAACCCTCAGTTTGTTTCCTGAGATTAAGAATTCCTCATATCAGTGAGGTCCTATGATACATGTCTTTCTCTGATTGACTTGAAAATACAAGTATTTTTAAGAAAAAAAACCCTCTTTATGAGAAACGTGGAAGCATTAATAGTACATTTTTTTACTTGTGGGCAAACTTATTAACACAGTTTAGCTCCCAGAAACTAGCAAGAAACCACAACAGCCTTGAGAAAGAGGCTGAAGACACACTCGATAAATAGATGCTATAAATCCAAAATACGAAAATAACTCCTAAAATGTTCCATAGGGCCAAGGGTCCTTTACTTACCTTTACAGTACCCATTATTCACATGCTAAATAAGGCTTGAATTTTGACACTCTAGTTTCAGTGTAGATTTAACTTGTCCTCCAAAAGTCACATTTCCTATTTTAATTGATATGTTAAAATAATTCAAACATTTCTAATTGATATAATGATTGGCTATCACAATATTACATCTGCCTGTCATTATATCACCTGAATAGCTGATATAATGCTCTTTATTGGGCTGGGAAAGACTGAGGGGAGAGAAGATCTAGAGAGAAAAAAAACTTAAGGTCTTAGTTCTGACTTACTGAAACAAAGAGACCTATGCAAGTCCCACAGGGTAATTGGATTTGGAGTTCACAGGAGAGGCCTGTACTGGAGATATAAACAGGGGAGCTGTCATTATGGAAGGTGCTTAAAGCCACGAGCCTGAATCAGATCACCAGGGAGGAAGCAGAGTAAGGGACTGAGTATTGAACAGCTCTTCATGAATTACAAGGCATTTGAAGAGAAAGGGAGCTTTCTAGATATTAAAACATTTTTAAAATTGTAATGATTGAAGTGATATGATATTGAATTGCAATGGAGATCAATGATAAAAGAGTCCAGAAAGGGACTTCAAGTATATATGGGAGTTAATATATGATAAATGTAACATTTCCAATAGGTAGAGCAGGCATAGATTATTCAGTAGAACATAATCAGCATAAGAATCCTTTTCCATTTTCTTTGGTTACTATTATTTTTAAAACTTGTTGTTATTCTGACTACTTCAACAAACAAAACTAAAAAGCTAAAAAGCTAGAAAAATATTAGATCCTGTCTTTAATCCATGGGGAATTTATCTTGATGTAACTTATAAATGAA